GAGAGGCATCTGTCTTTGTTCGATTACTGCGCCATCTCTTGCCACACGCAATATTGCTTATCCTGTCAACCTGAATGTGCTTTTGCACATATAAAAGTTATATAAAGTAATATTTTTTTCTAGGTTTTCAATCTTAGATCTAATTGCACGATATTGTTCTTAAATGTTGTCCCTAGGTCATGCCAGTCTAATTTTGTGGATATTTATCGTGGAATTTTTGTACAAAGCAAATATTGTCGTTACGTATACCAAAAATTAACAAAAATATTAATTTTTTTTTGTTTTCGATATAAATTTGACCACCATGACCTAGATTTTGATGCGTACTTTAATTCTAGACAAGAATTTTGCATTTCTATAAAGTCAATTAAAAGATTAGTGCTAAGAAAAAAAGCCGGTATTACAGACGGCTTTAGGATCCCCTTAATGGAGAAATTAATGATATTGAAGCAGTTAATATGACACTCTACTGATATATAAATTTTGGAATTACTTACATTTTGATAACGCCTCCTTATAAATAAAGGCAGGCAATGTTACATGAAAAAATTGTCACAGATATTAAAGAATATTTATATTTTTATATTTAAAATATTTTTCAAATTATTTTTATTTTCCATATTTGTTACAATATTTGTAAAATGTATATGGCATATAGTATGGATATCTTGGTTATATGTCTGAAAAAGAAAAAAAAAGCATTAAGACAAAAAAACAATACATTAATTTAAAAAAGTACAAACACGAGGATATGCTTTATATATATATTATTACTTTGAACTAGAACGGCGGCATGTTGAAGTTTCGCTTTTTCTCTTTTACGTTTGATGGGCTCTGTGAAGTCAATGGAACAGTTGAAGTTGGAGCTGTAGCAGTTAAAACTGCAGATGAAACTGCTGCCTTCTTTCTAAAGATAAAGAATAAAATTTTTTATTAATTTACATCATGAAAATAAATAACTATACAATTTCCTGCAATGTAATTATAAAATAATAGATTTTTTTAAATAGTTTTAGTAAAATCTGAAAATTACAACTGACCTCTTCAATATATAATTATCATTGTTCGATTTTTTAAAGCGTTTTGCACGAGAGGTTATATTTCTTCCTCCTTCAAGATCTAACGCTCGATCTGCGAGGTAAGCCGGTAGTGATTTGACTGCTTCATCAATGTCAGCTTCATAATTGCTGTCTTTCAATCGCTGTCTATACAAATCTACAAAATAAACAAAAAACGAACAAATTAATAATTAATATAAAAAGAGACCATTGTAGTATTTTGTAACAATTGTATATTTACTTTGCGCTAGCATTAAGAATCCAAGCGGAAACTTTTTTAATCCCGGCTTTCGAGGATAAACCCTCATTAATTTAGCATCTTCACCGAAAACTCCAACAAGAAGAGCAACAGTCCAATCACAGTCATTTTTCGCTGTTTCCATTGCTGTGAAGCCAGCTTGGGTGCAATAGAAACCACTCCCAAGATGAACCTAATAAAATAAAACAATTTATTGAAAAATGTTTTATAAAAAGATCACAAAAAAAAGATAAACCATTACCGAGTCTGTTTCTGAAGACATACCGCTAGTGCTGCGTTTGTCTTCTGTGTTGTAACGTACCTTTTCTGCAGAAATTTAGTCAATTTTATATATTTGCTACAAAATAAATTACTGTTAAAAAGCAATTGCCTCTATAAT